AGGGAGGGCACCACCTGGGGAGCAGAGTCCCGTCTCCTCCAGCTGGTCTTGGGGACCAAGCGCCCTGGGCGGTGGGGTCTGAGCGTGAACCAGTGCCAGCCTGAGACACCACATGGCAGCCGCTGCCTTTAGGGTGGACTGGCAGGGAGTGGGGTACGAGGCCTGTCCCCTCTGGCAGCGCTGGCTCTGACCCAGCCCCAGGATGTGGGGAATGGCTGGCTCAAGGGGGTGCAGTTATGGGGTATGGGCCCAGTCCCCTCTGGGGAGCGCTGGTTCTGATCCAGCCCTGGGGGGGGTGTATGGGTGGGCCGGGGGTGGGGTTATGGGGTATTCGGCCTGTCCCCGCCCCAGGCTGGGGAATGGCTGGTTTGGGGGAGGGGGCAAGTTATGGGGTATAGGGTCTGTCCCCTCTGGCAGCGCTGGCTCTGAATCAGCCCCAGGGTGTGTGTGTGGGGGTGGGGAATGGCTGGCTCAGGGGGAGGTTATGGGGTACGTGGCCTGTCCCCTCTGGCAGCGCTGGCTCTGACCCAGCCCCGGGATAGAGGCGGGCGCGGGTACTCCCGGGTACTGGTTCCAGTCGGCCCCTGGCTCAGGCACTCTGCCCCCTGCCACGGTGCCCGTCCATGGCGTGAGCCCGGCACCCTTGCCCTCTGCAGATTTTCCTGTGGAGCCTGAAGGACAACGACCTGACGGGCATGGCCTTCATCGACACGCAGCTCTACATCCACCAGATGATCAGCGTTAAGAACTTCATCCTGGCGGCCGACGTCATGAAGAGCATCTCGCTGCTGCGCTACCAGGAGGAGAGCAAGACGCTGTCGCTCGTCAGCCGGGTGCGGGCCGGGGCCGGGGCCGTGTCTGCGGGGGAGCTGGGAGGGTGGAGAGGCTCTGCGGGGAGGAGGGGGCTGCCCGGGGCCAAGAGCAGGGCTCAGCCTGGCACCTCAGTCACTTCCTGACGCAGTGCTAGGTCCCCGCCCGCGGCTGTGTGCTTCCCCCTGACCCCTGCTTCTCCTGCAGGATGCCAAGCCCTTGGAGGTGTACAGCGTGGACTTCATGGTGGACACGGACCAGCTGGGCTTTCTGGGTATGTTCTGCTCCTTCTCCATCCCCCGCACGTAGGGCTCGGCCAGGCCTCCTGCCCGGCGCCGTGGGATCATGGAGGCCAGCAAGGGGGGGAGACCCCCGTGGGCAGCCCCAGTCCCGGCTGGACGAGCTGGTGGGGCCGGAATTGCTTGGGCCCCCTCTGCTCAGTGTTGCGACTGTGCCGAGGACTGAGAGCTGCTGGGGGTGGGGGGTGTTGAGGGCAGAGCCAGCAGCCGCAGGCGGATCAGGATGGGGGCTGGAGCCAGGTTTGGACCCAGGGCAGGGGGGCTGGAGGCTCTTGGGTAGCTCTGTGTGTTTGGCGGGGGCTGAAATGCTGCCCAGAGCAACGTTGCTGATCTCTGCTCTCTCCCCGCAGTGTCTGATCGCGATCGGAACCTCATGGTCTATATGTACCTGCCTGAAGGTAAGGCCTTCCGCCCCCTCCACTTCTTAGCCAGGCCCCTGCCTACGGGGGCCGGTGGCTAGCGCGCAGGACCAGGGGTAGCCCCTGCTCTCCCAATGACTCGCTCTGGGACTGTGAGGGGGCCAGTCCTTTCCCCTCTAGCGTGGACACAATGACACTCGTATTTGTCTGGTGCTTTGGGAGCCCAACCAAAAAAGGCTGGAGAAGAGCCAAGTCCGTCAGTGGCTGCTGGCTGAGCCGTGTCAGAGACACAAGGGGGGGAGGGAACAGCTTTAATTGGGCCAACTTCTGTGGGTGAGAGCCAGGCGATCCAGCTACACCGACCTCTCGTTCACCCACCTTGCCTCTGATTAGCCCAGGGTCTAATTAGCCAGGGACACACCCCTGTGAGTCTCCAACTGCCAGAACCAGGGACTGGCTGACGGGCTGGGTCACTGAAATCGCCCCATTCTGTTCATTCCACCTCAAGCACCTGGCACCAGCCACTGCTGGAAGACAGGTTACTAGGCCAGATGGGCCATTGGTCGGCCCCGCTGTGGCCATTCCCTGTGTGGCTCTGATTCTGGCCTGCTGCAGCGCCGGATAATAATACTGTAGGGCTGCATGTAAACAAAGACCAGCATGGAACCCACAGGAACATCTAACAACCGGCAGCCCCCTGAACCTGGGGCTGGAAATTCCTTCCTGTCGGCGCAGCCGGAGCCGCATCCGTAGCTGCGTGCGAGCCTGAGGACTCCGGCTAGTCCAGCCCCTTCAGGACTGCAGCCCATGGAGACTCCAGTGTCCAGCATGCCATGCTCCTTCGCCTCCAGAGCGGAGCATGCTGGGAGCTGTAGTCTCCATGGGCCACACCTCGCCCTGATGGAGTTGCTCCCGCTCCTTCTCTTAGCCAAGGAGAGCTTCGGTGGGATGCGGCTGCTGCGCAGGGCCGACTTTCATGTGGGCGCCCACGTCAACACCTTCTGGAGGACGCCCTGCCGCTGGGCCACCGATGGCGGCACCAAGAAGTCTAGCGCCTGGGAGAGCAAGCACATCACCTGGTTTGGTAGGTTCGGCTCCGGCCCGCAGAGGGCAGCGCTGCGCCCAGTTCTGACCCCACCCATGTGCTGGGGGAGCAGCCGGGCTGGGCCCCGCCCCTGTTGTGCCGGGGGCTGTACAAACTGAGACGGTGCCTGTGCCGAGCAGCTTGCCCTCTGCGGAGGCAGCTGCCACGTGGGTGGGGGAGTGGAGAACGTGGAGACTGTCTCCACGCCTGCCATCCACGTGGGGCTGTGCTCTGGAGGCTTTGCCCCAGAGGCCTCCAGCCAGGCTGCCATGGGCCGGGGAGGCAGGCAAAACAGGAAGAGACGTGGGTGGGTGGATCAGGTCTGCCGAGGGGGGTCGTGGAGGTGAGTGGGAGGAGCTCGTGTTCAGTGCCGGGAAGTGGAGGAGCCGCGTGGTGGCTCGTGGGGGGAGATGGGGTCGGAGTGACGGGCCAAGGGGAGGAAGGGCGGAGTGGGCATCAGGTGCAGCTGTGGGGCCATGGGGCAGTGCACAGCCTGTGATGGGAGCAGGGGCTTGCCTGGGGCCGGGGGAAGTGCGTCCCAGCACTGGTGTCCAGAGTAGGACACGGTGGGGCTAGTGGGCGGGGAAAGAGCCGGAGCTGCCAGGCTCACTCCGGGTTCTGCCCCCTGCAGCAATGGAAGGTGTTATCTTGCAGGGGGCAGCTGGGTCCCGACTGCTGCGCCCAGTCCGTTACCCTGAGCTCCCAGGGCTCGTTGCTGGCCCAGCCCAGGGAGCCTCCCCTCAAAGCGGGGCGTTCCGGGGTTCCCTGACCGGGCCGTTCTCCTCTCCCTAGCCACGCTGGACGGCGGGATCGGCCTCCTCCTGCCCATGCTGGAGAAGACGTACCGGCGCCTGCTGATGCTGCAAAACGCCCTCACCACCATGCTGTCACACCATGCCGGCCTCAACCCCCGAGCCTTCAGGTACCGCCCTGCACCTTGCTCCCCACCTCGGCCTGGCCCAGTCAGCCCCGCTGCCCTTGGCCAGACACCCCCTCCTCTGGTGTGCGCCTGATGGCTGCTCTCCACCCCAGAGGTGGCTGCATCTGGGCCGAGCTCTGTGGGATCCTTAAGGAAAGATGGCATTTAGCCTGTCTGACATTGGAGGGGCAGGGATCAGATGCCGGGTGCCAGTACCTGGTACCCTCGGCCAGGGGGAAGGGCCCTGAGCTCAGCTGCCCCCTGGCAGTAGCAGGGGAGATGTGAAGTGTCTCCAGGGAGGTGCTGGGTGGGGCTGCACTAAGCCCTCTACAGCAAGGGGGGATAGACCTCCAAGCAGGCTGTGGGGCTCCTGGGCCAGGCTAGCCTCTCTTAGGACTCCATGCAGGGCGGGGGGAGGGGGTGTCCTCTGCTAGGGCCCTTGGGGAGAGGAGCTGGGGCTCCGTGTGGTCCCCCATGGCCTCTTGGCCGTAGCACAAACCTGCTATCCCACCAGCCTCACCAAGCTCCCCCAGCTGCTCCCTGCAGGGGGATACCTGGGGCTTTCCCCCGGTGCCTTTCCCCAGGCCGTCCTAAGTGCCCTGAGAACGTGGGCAGGGCAGCAGTGGGGGGCAGGCCAGCCTGGACCATGGCCTCCCCCAGCCTCCTTGCCGGTAGCTACAGCTCCTCTCCCGCAGGATGCTGCATGTGGACCGCCGGATCCTGCAGAACGCCGTCCGCAACATCCTGGACGGGGAGCTGCTGAGCCGCTACCTCTACCTCAGCGCCATGGAGCGCAACGAGCTGGCCAAGAAGATCGGCACCACGCCAGACATAGTGAGTAGGGCCCCATCCCAGTGGGGTTAGTCAGGAACCCCAGGGGCGAGGCCCTCCCCTGACCTGCCTGCTTCTTTCTCTGCAGATCCTGGAGGACTTGTTGGAAATCGACCGCGTCACGGCTCATTTCTAATGGACTCGGGGCGGACGGGGCCAGCGCCTGCCCCAGCTCTTGTAAATTCCTTGGCGTCCGGGCTAGGAGGCCCGGCCTGGCTTTGTACGAACTGGGAGGGGTTTGTAAAAAAAAAAAAAAAAAAAAAAAAAAAAAAAACGACGCGGCACAACGTGCTCGTGGCTGTGGTGTTTGCTGGGTGAGGGGGTTTGGCTGGGGGCTGCTTACAGGGCAGGGCCTCGCTGGCACGGGGAGAGACGCTGGTGCTGGCCAGGAGGGGCCATGGCCACATGGGCAGCCTGGCTGGAGAAGTGGGTGTCCCTGCCCCACCATACAAGCTGCCAGAAAGCCATGGAGCGAGGGGGCCTGGCTCCTCCCGCCCTGCCGCTCCCCTCGCAGCACCACTGACCACCCGCTGTGGGGCGCCCACGTTTTATTAGTGTAAGATCAGGGTCTGTGCGGCCCCTGGAGCCGATGCAGCCATAGGGAAAGGCCCAGGCTCCAGCTGGCAAGGCGCTGCCCCTGGCGTTCAATCCGGCCAGCCCGCGAGTCCGTAGCAGGCCTGGGTCTGCCTGTCTCCGCAGCGGCTCAGCTAGGCCTGGAGGTACTCGTAGATTTGGTCGCTCTCGGAGAGGAAGCCCACGTAGGCGAGGAAGCGAATGAGGGAGGCCATCAGCCTCATGGAGAACGTCTCGTACCTGGGGAGGAAGCAAGAGCCAGCATGGAGCATGAGCCACCAGCACCCTCTGGGTCGAGTCAGCGCCCGAGTGCGGGAGCCCGCACGCCCCCCTACCTGAGGGCGATCTCGAACTTGAGGGTCTCCCACCTCACCCGGAGCCAGCAGAAGAGGCTGCGGATGCCGGAGGATTTGTGGCCAGCGATCCTGCTCCAGCCCTTCACGGCGCTGCGGGGACAGAGGAGCCAGGTCAGGCCCGGGGCATCATCCTCCGTACTGGGCAGAGCCCCACGCCAGCGCAGCCTGCGGGAAGGCAGCCAGCTTTGTCAGCGTGCGGCCCAGCGGGGCCGGGCAGGGCTGAGCCCCGTTGCTGCAGCCTGTAGCCGGGTGGGGGGCAGCCCCGCTCACCTCTTGCCCATGGCGAAGTAGCGGTCGACGGGGGCGCCCAGGGCAATGTTGATGCTGCGCACGGTGTTGATGTTGCGGAAGACGAGTAGCATGGGCCGGGGCAGGTCCTTGAGCACCTGCATGATGCGATCGAAGTGGTGCCGGGCCATGGCCTGCATGTAGAGCGTCTCCTCCTGCGTCAGGATGTTAGCCAGCCTCAGCTGCCCCATGTGGATGGGCCTCTGCATCAGGATCTCGCAGAAGAGGAAATAATCTGGGGTGGGGCGAGGCCAGGCCTGGCCGTCAGGGGAGCCGGGGCAGAGCCCAGGGGCCCAGGCTAGCAGCCAGAGGGTCTGAGCCACTCAATCCTCCCACCCTCTGCGCCCCCCCCAGGGAGCAAGGTGGAGACAGCGTAGCGTAGTGAACCAGCCTCCCAGCAGGGGAATTGCCTCGGGCCCCCTCACCATGTCCCCCGAGCCCCCACTCACCCTTCACGCCCAGCTCGGCGGAGAAGGCCCTCATGCCTGAGTCATCCCGCAGGATGATGGCTCGCCACAGCTTGCACAGTGCCGTCCGGTCCCTGCCACGGGGAGAGGTTCCGTGTCACCCAGGGCTGCCTGCCCCACGGGGGGTGGAACCACATCCCTGCCCGCAGGGGTGGAGATGGGCCCTGGAGTGCTGCCCCCGGCCCCCCGCCCGCTCCCTACCTCTCACTGAGGAACTCGTAGAGGCCGTGATCCAGCAGCACCAGCTGGGCCTTCCCGTTGGGGCCCCTCCGCACCAGCACTGCAACACAGAGCGGGTCACTGCACGGTGCCCTGGGCACAGGCACCCAACCTGCTTCCAGCACTAGCCGCCTCCCCTCGGCGCTCTGGGCAGGGGGGCCGGGATGGGAGGAACCCCGGCCCGGCCTGGGGGACACTGAGGCAAAGGCACCCATGGAGGGGAGGGGAGAGGGCAGTGCCATTATCGCAGCCTCTGTGCTGGGCCTTTCCCTGCTCCCCCAGCCCCCGTACCGTTCCCAGGGTGCGGGTCCGCATGGATGAAGCCCGTGTAGAAGATCTGCTCAGCAAACATCTGGATCAGCTTGTCTGCGGTCTGCAAGAGGGCGAGACGGGGGGTGAGCCGCTGAGCGCCCCAAGGTGGCAGAGGGAGTCTCACCGAAGGGGCTCGGGGCAGGGTACAGCGACGGCCCCCTCAGCAAGTGCCGTCATTCAGCCATTCCACAACACTTGCAGCAGAAGGGGCGTGCTTTGGCTGCCGGTGAATGCAGCTGCCTCTGGGATGGACCGTCTCCACCTCCCAGCCCACAGAAACGCTACAAGCGGCAGCAGAATCTGTTGGGCCCTACTTCCTGGTCCCCAATCACCCCAGGGAGCTGGGCTCCCCGCTTCGCCGAACTGCAGCGCCTCACTCACGTCTTTGAGGTCCAGCCCCTGCGCCCTGATGCTCTCCACATCGTTGATTTTACAGCCTTCGCAGTAATCTGCCGTCAGGACTCTCTGTGGGGAGCAGATGGGGGTCAGGAGGGGCTGGGGCCCTGCCCTCCCAGGGTGCAGCCAGTAGAGAACTAGTGTCGGCCCAGCCGCTCCTCGCCCCCTGCTACGGGCCTGGGGTACAGGCAGGTCCAGTTACCAGGGCGAGGGGGGTCTCCTGTGCCCCCGGGGGAGGAGGAGCTGGTCTGGTGGTGAGGGGGTGACCCCAGATGCCTCCCAGGGCTAAACCCACCCGGCCACAGGAAAGGGGGGGTCTGTGCAACTGGCTGCTGGAGACGGGGCTGGGGCCCAGCCGTCCTGCGTCCGCACCTTGCTGCACTTGTCCCAGTGCACAGTGGGGACCACAACGTAGGGGAAGTGGCGCAAGTCCCGGGCACAGCGCTCCGCGTTCCGGCCCTCGTTCTCGAAGTCCAGCTCCTGGGCCAGCGTCCCCTTCAGGTCCTGCGGAGAGAGAGGGCAGGGGCATGGCCAGGGGCTTTCCCACGCCAAGGTGGGCACACATCCCACAGCGTGGGGCACCGACTGCCCCCATTTCAACCCTCTGCCGGGGGAGCCACCCAGAGCATGGGGCCGCTCTCCGCTCAGTGCCTCGTCCTGCCGGCACGAAGGGGAGCTCCTGGCCTGGGATGCCTGGGGCAGGGCCCACGGGTGGGTGCTAACAGCCCGAGCCATGGGCAGGAGCCGGCTAGCGGCCAGGGCGAACAGAGCCTGGAGTGCCCACACCCGGCAGCACTGGCCCTGCACCCGGGCTGGGGCGGCTGCTGCGGCACTAGCTGGGGATGGGTCCAAGGGGCTCGGGCGGCGCCGGTACCTTCAGGACCCAGCTGAACCCAAAGCTGGGGTGCATGTACTCGATGATGCGCAGTAGCAGCTCCAGCGTGCGGATGTCCCCATCGAACCTATCCCTCAGGTCGATGTACTGCACCTGGGGAGGCGGAGACGGAGCGCGCTGGGAACCCGCCTCAGCCGCTGGCTGCCCTCAGCGACTCCCAGCCAGACGGGGCATCCCAGGGCCCAGCTGAGCCGCACGAGGGGCTGGCGTGGCCAGCAGAGACTCCACGTCCCAGAATGCAATTCACCACCCGCACCACATGCTGCCCCATCTGTCTGCAGTGTTGGCAGCACCGAAATGTCCCGGTGCTGCCGCACCCGTGGGTCGGGCAGCACCCCCTGCAGGCAGGGCTCAGACTGCAGCCCCACGGAGCCGGCAGCATCCTGGCTCCTAGCAGGGATTGGGGCGCTGCACACCGCTGCCTGGGGCAGAGGCCCCATCTCCCTCCCGGCCCCAGGCCCAGCCCTGGAGGAGCAGCTGCTGGAGCTTTCCCATGCAGGGAAGTCCTGGGAGTTGCCTCGGGTCTTGGCCTGTCCTCCACCCTGCAGGCCCCTTCCATCAGCCTGAGCCGCCTGCCCCTGCTCCCGCCCAGCAACGCGGGGCTGCTCTCAGCCCAGGCTGGGGCACAGAAGAGGGCTGCAGCTGGGCCCCTCTGGCTCCAGGACCCCAGTATGGAGCCAGCCCCAGCGAGGGAGGTCAGCCACACCCGCCCTTCTGGCTCACGCACCTTCACAGCCACCAGTTTGCCGTCCGGGAGCCGGGCCTTGTGCACCTGGGCCAGGCTACCCGCGGCCATGGGCTGGTAGTTGAACTCCAGGAAGAGCGTGTCGGCCGTGGCTTTGAAATCTTCCAGGAACAACTCATCCACCTGCGGCAGGAGATGGGGAGGGCTGGCTGTCAGGGAGCTGCCCTCCGGCACCGGCTCATGCCCAGAGTGGGCAGGGGCCGCCAGAGACGCCACATGTTGGGGCTCTGGTTCTGAGCAGCCCCAAGGCAGCGGAGACCAAACCGGAGTTTCCAGCTGTACCCGGTGTGCTGTGAGGTGGGAGGGTCTGTCGAGCAGGGGTCCCCCTCACCCAGCCTGCAGGAGCAGCCAGCGCCCATGCTCCAGAAGGCGGGGGGCCCAGGCGGGTGCTCAGTGGTGTGTAGAAGAGAGCTCTGCCCAGCCCACCCCCGGTGCAGCTGGGGGAAGCTAGGGGCAGAGGGGGCTCCCAGTCCGGCCCCTTGCCCTGGAGGCAGTGGGGGTGCCTGAGGAGAGGCCCGTCTCTAGGAGCCCCGCAGAGCCCGCTGCTCCGCCCCGGGGAGCCAGCACTCACCTCCCCGCACCCCGTCTCCACGAGCCCCGCAGAGCCCGCCGCTCCGCCCCGGGGAGCCGGCACTCACCTCCCCGCATCCCGTCTCCACGAGCCCCGCAGAGCCCGCCGCTCCGCCCCGGGGAGCCGGCACTCACCTCCCCGCATCCCGTCTCCACGAGCCCCGCAGAGCCCGCCGCTCCGCCCCGGGGAGCCGGCACTCACCTCCCCGCATCCCGTCTCCACGAGCCCCGCAGAGCCCGCCGCTCCGCCCCGGGGAGCCGGCACTCACCTCCCCGCAGCCCCTCTTGAGGGCCTGGTCCTCCAGCACGTGCAGGGTGCTGATGTACTCGGGCGGCAGGAGGTGGTTGAAGGCGCACAGGCCCTGGCCCAGCTTGACGTACAGGCCCCCGTTGCGGATGGCGCCCTGCACCAGCCTGTCGGCCGCCCGCTGGTGACAGGCTGACATCGCCTCCTTGTACTCTGAGCTGTTCTGATGACAGGGACACGCGGCGGGGAGCAGCCGTTAGCACCGGCGGGACACGGCCAGCAGGGGGCGTGGGCACCTGGGTGTGGCCAGCAGGGGGCACCTGGGCGTGGGCAGCAGGGGGTGTCTGGTCCCGGCCAGCAGGGGTCATGTCCCAAGCAAAGAGGGGTAACGGGGCTGTGATGGAGGGACACACACACCAGCAGGGGGCGCTGCACGACCAGGGAGACGGGACCTGCCCAGGACCCCAGCGGCAACAGAGGGGCTCCCCCTCTGAAAACCCCTCCACCCCCTACAGGCAGCATCTGTGCCCCCCAGCACACTGACACCATGCCCATCACCGTGGGATTGGGGCGCCTGGCAGTGACCCGTCTGGCTTGGGAGGGGACTGGCACCGGCTCACAGCCAAGGGACATGCGGGTCCCCATGTGGCAGGGAACATACCTCGTCCACGCCCTGCAGCGTCACATGGGTCATCCGCCAGTAATCCAGTGAGATCCGCATGCCCAGGATCAGGGACCTGCAGGGACAGGGCAGTATGGCTCAGCACGGCCATGGCAAGGAGGGGGGGCAACTGGCCCAGGGGCACGCAGAGCCTGGGGCCGGCAGAGAACCCAGGAGTCCTGATTCCCCCTGCAGTGGGGCCTGGGAGCTTGCGCCTTCCCCAGGCCCTAGAGTCACCTGGACGCCCCTGTAGAGGGAGCCCCTTGTGCCTGGGCCCGGCCGAAACCCACCTGCCGAAGCGCCCGACGCCCTCCACCAGCAGCCGCATCTTCCTCCGCTCCTGGGCATCAGCCAGGCCGTAGTGCGTCCCGGCCGCCAGGGGCAGCCCCAGCCCCGCAGCCAGCAGCACCTTCCACAGCAGCCCCCTGCGCTGGCGCCAGCTGGGGGGGACAAGGGGACAGCGGTGAGAGCCCCCCATGACCTCCAGCCCCCTGACGTGACTGCCCTGCTCCCCCTGTGGCTACCACCACCGCCCCTCCCCGCCATGGCCACCATGCCCCCTGTGACTGCCCCACTCTCGTGACCTCCACGGCCCCTGGGACCCCTCCCCGCCCCCCCAGTGCAGCAGAGCCAGGCCACACCCTCTCCAAACAGGCCTTGGCTGGCGGCACAGCAGGGTGGGCAGCAGGGAGGCTGCCAGGCCTGGGCAGTGCCCAACCCCCCGTGACATGGAGCCTGACAGGGTCACGCGACTAGCAGGCGAAAGGACCCAAATCTCCCAGACATAGAGAAGTCTGTAAACGGCCATTGGACCGTCCTTACAAACAGCTCCAGCCACGGCAGAGACCAGACCTGCGTTGGGAGAGAATTAGCGGTGAATCCTAATTGGCTGCGTGCCTGCTCATGTCAGAGGTTACCCAGGTAACCAGCCGGGCCCTGTCCCCAAACTTTAACAACCCGCAAACCCCGTTCACGGAAACGTCAAGTCTCGCCAACCCCCTCCGAAGAATGAATCTTTCCCGGGATTTTCTCCCTTACCTCAGCCTAGGCTAGAAAAGCAGCGACCTTGGAAATCTCAAATGTGTTTTTATGACATGCTTATTACACACACTTGATGAATTATTAGTTCTCCTTGCACTATTTCTATTACAGTGTGAAACCGGCAACTCTTCCAAGAGCTCACTTTCGTAGCTTGTATCACTTTTGATTAAGCCTGTTATAAGACAAGGCTCCTATCAGAGGCGCCAGTAGAAAAAAGGGGTGCGGGGCGAAGGCCCTGCGTACCCCAGAGCCTTGGGGGGCACCGCCCAAAAAGGGGGGGCATAGGGGCTGCTGGAAAAAAAGGCGAGGGACCCACGGGGGGGGGAGAGACGACACGCGGGGACCGCACATGACCCTCGTCGCCCCCCGTACCGGCGCCTCTGGCTCCTATGTTTCATGAAGGAGTGTCCGATGTGACTTTACTGCAAAGCCACAATGTTTTTGTGTATACACAACCAATAGGAGGTTTTACTGCGAAGCTCCACCCAAGGAACGCCTGCTGGCCGGAGATCTACAAAGGAACTCTAGGGCCCTGATCCTGTAGCTGAGGTCTCCAGCTCCAGTCTGGAGCCCCCTGCTCCTCCTTGTGGCAGAATTAGAACAAACTCTGCCCAGGTTCTGGATCCCGAGGAACCGATTCTGGAAAGAGCTTTTTGCACTCAGCAGCTCACCATGTCTGCTATGAAACTGATCGACGAGTCTGTTCATATCCGGATGTACAACCAGCTTTTAACCATGATCCTCTCTTGTCTTGTTTAATAAATCTTAGCGTGGTGAATAAGAGCTGGCTGGAAGCGTGTGTTTGGGTAAGAGCTGAGATAGCCATTGAGCTAGGGGAGGACGTGTCCGATCCCTGGCGACTGGTAGAACTTTATACACGATGAACATGATTTTCAACACTCCTCATCGTGTCTGACTGGGCTGTCGGGGGGAGCCCAGGGCTGGGTCGCTCTAGGGGAGCTGTGTGTTGGCTCTTGGGTCACCACTAAGGTATTGGAGAAGCTGGTTTGCGGGCGGCTGGGTGAATAACCCACCAGTTTTCGCAGTTTGCCCTGACTGAGCAATCTCAGCGTGGCCCCCCCGTTATTTCACACCTGCCCGGGGTGGGGCATGGGGTGAGCACCGTGGGGAGGAGCGTTTCCAACATACCCAAGTGGGTAACAAGGGGACAGACACACACCCCCCGACCCGGGGCCCTGCCCAAGAAAGGGGCCGGTCTGGAGGGCTCTCCGGCGAAGGGCTTACCGTGGCATCGGAGGGCTGGCCATGTGTCTGCAGTGCAGGGCGGGCGGCTGCCACGGGCACCTCCTCTGCAGCAGGAGGGAGTGAAAACGGCAGAGCTGCACCTGGGGGCCAAGGCACAAAGATCAGCGGGACTCTGACAGTGCAGGGGAGGAACGGCCGCCCCGGGCACTGCCTGCGGAACTCACTGCCACCGGGCAGTGCGGAGCTGCCAGGGCCCGAGACATTCCCGGGGCACCAGCCAGAGCTTCCCCAGCTGCTCCCAGGGATCCACGGTGAGGCTCGGACCTGGCAGCATGCCCATCCCACCAGGCCCAGCTGCACCCGAGCCGTGCCCTGGCTGCACCACCGGCCATGCTTCTCGTGGAGGGCAGCTCACGGCACTGCTGGTCACAACCACACCCAGAACGTGCCCGACGCCTGCCATCAGAGCCACAGCATCCCAGAGCGGAGCACCAGCACCCCACGGCACCGGCAACCGCCTGCCGCCTCGACAGCACAGCTGCAGCCAGTGGCTGTCTGCGAACACCACCCACAGCTGTGCAGAGCAGCGCACAAGGACTCACTAGTGCAGCCTCCCCGGGAACGACCTGCATTCTGCAGAGGAGGGGACTAGACGTGACTTGTCCCCGGGCACATGACAAGTGGCAGAGCACGGAACTAGGGTGACCAGCTGTCCTGATTTTATAGGGACAATCCCGATATTCGTGGCTTTGCCTTACACAGGCTCCTATCACCCCTCACCCCGTCCCCATTTTCCACACTTGCCATCTGGTGACCCTACAGCAGAACCCAGGAGTCCTGTCGAGCAGGCCCGCTTCGCACCAGCTGACTGCGCTGGGGCACAGGAGGTGAGGACGCAGTGAGACCTCGTCCTGCCCCAGGGCAGGTGGAGGCATCCCGTGCGGCCTGCTTGAATTGTTGGGATCAGCACTGCCTTGCTATGCTGTGCGAACGGGTGTTGTGTCACACGCACATGCCTGGGGAGCAGATTGCCTCAACCACTGGGGAAGTGGAAGCAGGCGCAGGCTGGGGTCTGGCTGGGCGTTTGGGTCTGGGCCAGCCGGCCTAGGAGAACACTTTCCCACCCCTCCGTGGCGGGGGAGCCCGAGCAGCACAGCCGGACCGAGCCCCATGGGCGCCGAGCTGGCTGCACTCGGTGACGAAGAGGAGCAGCCGACTGGCTGCGCTTGTGGTTCATTCTTCAAAAGGTTCTAGAGACCAAACAGCCGCCGGAGCCAAACGCCGGCACAAAGCCCGAGCAGCACAACAGGGTGGTTGGGCGAAGCCAGGGGAGGGGGGGGGGGGGGCCTGGCCCCCAGGGTGGTGGGTGATGCCGGGGAAGGAGGAGTCGGGTCCTGTCCCATAGGGTTGGGCCCAGCTCTGGCCACTGTCTCTCGCCACAGCATCATGTGACACAAGCAGGTGGGGGCCTGCCCCCGCGGCACCCACTTTATCCCCTTCCAGGCCCTGGCGCCCCCAGACTGCTGCTCCGCACCGGGCTGTGGAGGGCCAAATAAAATGATCTGGGGACCCGACGTGGCCCTGGGGCTGCCCGCTGCCCATCCCTGGCGTAGGGTCCCCTGGCACAGTGCCCAGCCCAGACAGTCCCTGCCCCCAGCTTCCCCCCGTGGGCGCTGACTGCACACCGCCCTGGCGCCTGCCTTCGCGCCCTCCCCAATGCCATCCAGCGAGAGGAGAGGCGGCAGATCTGCCACCCTGCCTGCTCCCTGCCAGCCCACCCCGGGAAGCACCAGGGGGCACCCCCCACCCTGTCTGGGAGCCCGGCAGGGCACTCGCAAGGAGCAGGCGGCTGTTTCCCCATTTCCAGCCTCAGGCCGGATTCACAACTTGTCCTTGAGGGAGGGAGGGAACATGAAATCAAGGGGCCTCCCGCCCATCCCATGGCAGAGCGGTTCAAGGCTGCAGCCACAGCCCCCCTCCCCCCCCGGCACAGCCCCCCAGCCGGCCTTGGGAAGTCGCCTTCAGAAAGCTGTTTCCTAATCAGCCTCGTGGTGTTTTTCCAGTGCCAGGCCCGGTGGGCAGATGTGGTGCCCGGGCGCAAACGGCCTCCCCTGTCCCGGGAGCGAGCGCTCCGAGACACCAGCCCTGCCTGGCAAGGGTCCCCGGGGCCATGTGGGGGTCCCCGGTGCCATGTGGGGCGACGTCTGGGGCACACCCGGGCGCAAACGGCCTCCCCTGTCCTGGGAGCGAGCGCTCCGAGACACCAGCCCTGCCTGGCAAGGGTCCCCGGTGCCATGTGGGGCGACGTCTGGGGCAGACCAGGCTGCACCGCCCGGGAGCAGACATCCGCCTCCCCGGCCCCGTCCACACTGGCTGGGCACAGGGGCTGCCTGCCACGTGCTAGCACCTGTGCCAGGACGGGGCGGGAGGGAACCTGGCAGCACAGAGCTTAGGGCTCTCGGACTGTGGGCGCCCCGGGCCGGTGCAGAACCTGGCACCATGAGGGGTGTGTACCGTAATGCACATAACAACCAGCACTAGGGAAGGGGGGCGGTACCGTAATGCACACAGTAATGGCTCCAATAACCACCCCTTGGGAACCAGGGGGCGGGGGTGGTACCGTAATGCGCCCAATAACCAGGCCTCGGAAAGCACGGGGGGGGGGGGGGGGGGGGGTGATACCGTAAACACACTAACCACCCCGCGGGAAGCACCGGGGCGGGGGTACCGTAATGCACCCAATATCG